AGTAGTAGTAGAAGTAGTCGTAGTCGTAGTCGTAGTAGTAGTAGTAGTAGTAGTAGTAGTAGTAGTATTGTAGTATTGTAGTAGCAGTTGCAGGGGAGATGATCGTATGTTGCAGCGGTAGTGGTACAGGTGGCAGTGCCGATGAAAGTGTCACTGGTGGTGGTAGTACCACAGGAAGGGTTACCGTGTGGGCCATGCGACTGCCAGCACAAGCACCCGCGCCAGCACGAGCACGGCACGAGCAATAGCCCTGCACTAGACTAGCACGAGCAATAGCACAGCACTAGACTGGCACAAGCACTACTACTACTACTACTACTACTACTACTACTACTACTACGACTACTACTACTACGACGACGACGACGACGACGGCGAGGACTACGACTGTTGCTACTGCTGCTACTTCGTACTACCTACAATCTACAACCTACTACCTGGGACAGACGACACATCGAGCCCCTCCTGTAGCAACGGCCGGGAGTGAAGCCAAATGCTACACTATGTGAGTCACTAACTGTGTCTCCTGGCAGCTTCGATGAAGACACTCCGACTTGAAACTGCAGCCATCCAAGTCTGACCAAGTAGCTTGCACCATAAGGTGTGAAGGCCCCGTACGCGAGAGCAACCTCTCCGCAGCGGCGTAACATGAATTCTGGCCTGGACCCTCGGGGAGGTCAGAACCCGAACGGCACACAGGCTAGAGAACTTCCCAAAGGGATAATGGATGCGGACGCATCTTAACTGTGTCGTACAGTAGTATCGGTATCGATACCCAAATATCACGAAGCAGTCATGATCAGCATGATCACGCACCAGAGTCATCCTTATCATCGTCATTCTCGCAGCCCTCCTACTCCTCAGCTCACCACCACCATTACATCTACCTGAATCTACCTTATTGAATCATGGTCGCTGGCCAGCCTGGCGCGGAGCTACCGGTGTCAAAGCAAAGGATGCGGCGGAAGACGTGCTGGGTGCCTCAGGTGCAATCGCAGGGCTTCTAGCCTTGAGGGTTTGAAGCGACGAAGTCGAAAAGAAGGCTGCAAGAGCTGGAAAGCGGTGCAGAACGCCTGGCGACACCCGGTAAACTCCATAATATGGTGACCAAGATGAGAAAGATAAAGATGGGAAGCGAAACGAGCTCTGTGTACGCGTATCTATTTCCATACGCTAGTAACGCTAGTAGAACTTTCTACCAGAGCCCCGGCGGAACCTGCTGCGAGGCGGAGCGGGGCCCGAGGCCGTCGGCCCAGCGGAGGTTAAGGCTTCCGCCCGTCAGCTCCAAGGCAAAGACTGCCCCTCCGCGGTTTGAGCTAAGTAAGGGTGCTGATGAGGGGTCTTAGGCAGTTCCTACATACCGACTTGCCGCGAAAAGGACTTGGTGTTGGGGGGGTCAGGCTCTGGGTTTGAGGCTGTAGGCTTTTCAGTTTTAGGCGGGTTTGGAGGGAACTCTTCGTGCTTTGCACCGACTGTTTTGCCTTTGACTGCCCAGCTCGGCACATGCGCTCGGAACTCGGTGTTGTGCCTTGTGCTGTCGCGCTGAAGACGATGCGAGGCTTTAGGGCTAGGGAAATCCGACGGGGCACATGCTCTGCAAGGCTCTGCGGCCCGCAGCTGACTGTCCAAAAAAGGTTCACAATTCCGCACGCGACCACACTGCGATTGTTAAATATGGTGGGCACCGGAGCTGCCGCACAGAACCTCAAATCCTGTATCCTCAAAGAGAACTGTAAGAGCTCTCACCGGAGCCCGCGCCTCCGTCATGCCAGGCCGCACCCTGGACTGACCAAACCTCTCGGCACAGCTCAGGCTCATCCGTGCAGTGAGCCATGGCAGAACAGAACTTAGTGGCAAAGCCCAAATATATGTCGCACCGGGTCACCTACACAAATCGGGCCTTAACAAAAGCTTACATATGTAATCTGAAGACTTACTTTGTTTTGCCCAAAGTTCGGCCTCCTCCCCCGCATCGGGCACCAGGAAGTCCCACACTTCGCTCCACCGCCTAAGCACTTCCGAGATGATGTGTGCGCGCGTGTACGTATTCAGTGGTACCTGAATATGAGCCTGCTCGTGCTGGATGCTTTCATGACCGCAAGGCAGAACCGACTGCAGAAGGTCGGTGCATCAGACACGCATGCATGTAAGTGCGGCATATACATACACATATAAAAGAGAAATGTATGCATGTATATACTTGTAATATCTTGTAATTATACACACCCACACATACGCACTTAAATCATGTGTAGCTGCCTGCCTTGCCTGCCTTGCAGCCTGCTGCCTGCCTGTCTGCCTGCCTGTCTGCCTGCCTGCCTTCCTCTGTCGCTCTTGTGTCTCGTGTCTCTCGTGTCTCTGTCTGTCTGTGTGTATATGTACATGTGTATATATATATATATACATGTACCATACATATTTAAAATTATATCTGCTATATGTTCTGGATTCTAGATTCTGCATCGCATATTACTACATATTATATACTGCTTACAATATATGCTGTACATGTGTATATATATATATACATACCTACATGTGTGTATGTATACCTATGTACAGATATATATATATATATAGATAGATATATACATACCTACATGTGTGTATGTATACCTATGTACATATATATATATATATGTATGCACATGCACCTCTGTATGTCCATATGTATGTGTCTGTGTTTCTATGTGTACTTTTCTAATTTGTTGTACTCTATCCTATCCTAGACTATCCCGTCCTATCCTGTTGTGCCATAATACATTAAATCTGTGATGTAGTATGTTCTGTTGTACCCAGGTATAAAGTATTCTATTGTGCTCCAGTCTTGCATTACATTACATTGTACTACAAGTGGTGTATTATGTTATATGTATGTATGTATGTATGTATGTATGTATGTATGTATGTATGTATGTATGTATATATAACCCCATTGACCAACCCTGGTTTCGTATGTTCTCTCACACGAAGTCTGTGTGGTACAGTCTTATGGCAAAAAATTACGGTGAAGCTCTTAGGTTACTCATGCGCCAATGAGTAGTGGTACCAGTACTGTGACAAAAAACTAAGATTGATGTTCCTACGAAAAAATATGCATATTCACATAAACCTTAAACGAATACTAATACAATGAACTACTAACCACAAACGAATACTGATGTCTAAGTTGATACTAGTAATAACAATAACAATAGCATAGACCTCCGGTGCGTCTGTGTGGACAGCACAGCAGCTTGCTGGGCGACTCGGGACCGGCTTGTTGGAAAGGAAGCGTAAACTCCTAAAGCCTTGATGTGGGGAAAGTACTGTTTCGTCGCAAACAGTGGTTGCCTTCCGCAAGGTGGTGTCTTCAGGCGCCCTGCTGTTTGCAAGAGTTTGCATAGAAGAAGCGCGTAAGTCTACAATAGGTGACCCTCTCTACTTCTGCCACCCTAACCCCTGACCCCCGACCGCTCTAAGGTACGCACATGCCATTCGCCTCCACCTGCAGGAAGACGTTGGTGGCATGTAAGTTTTGTCGGGTTCTCTTGGCTGCCAGCCTCACCTTGTGCGAGTTTACTCTGCGGTGCATAGCACCCCATGTGTAGATCGTTTCGCATGTTTCTGCTATCGACAATGAAAGCAGTGGCACGAAACAGCGCTTCGATTCGTCTACAGCCGACACAGGCCGTGCATAGCATGTGGATGTAGCATACGTGAACTTCTCGGAACAGAGGAAGGACCACATAAACATTCATGACTCAATCGTCCCATGCCACATCATGTCATAGGCTGTGGCGACATCCACGAGTACCGGCATGCAACCCATAGAGCAGATGCCTGAGCTTTGTGCACAACCTCAAGTTACCCTGAAGATCCCGAAGCCCAGCCTCTCCGGCACAGAGAAGACAAACTGTGGCGGCCACGGCCAGCAGTTGCTGTGAGCCCAGTGGGACCAAAGCAACCTTACCAAAATCGGTAGAAGCATCAGTCAGCATCCCCATCATCAATGCAATCATTCGTCATCGACAACCTTTCATGATCATCTCCTCACCACTATATTGCTAATTGCAAGGCGCTGCCCGGCAGTCTCTATACCGTACTGTAGTGCGCGAATGAGATTGCTCAGTCTGCCAGTATAGTGACCGCTAGCTGCCACTTCCTGTATACCTACTCTACAGTAGCCCTTTCCACTCGATTCCCAGCCGCTGAAGTTCCCTCCACGCAGGCGGGTGTTTCGGTTCCTGGGCACTGCGGTGCTGTACAGAACTCTTGGAGCTCAGAGGGCTTAGGGTTTAGGCACCACTAGGGGGAACAGGATTACGGATCTTTGAAGGGCTGTACGGCTCTTGCCCTTTAGAAACGAATTATTGCAGAGGATCACGACGTCTTCGCCCGAAGGTCTCCAGTGATTGGGTCAACGTGGCCCACGCGAGTTTAGAATCACACCCAGGCCAGCACTTTGCCTCCTGTGAACCACGGGGACCAAAAAACACTGTCTTGAGAGAGAGAGAGATAGATAGATAGATAGATAGATAGATAGATAGATAGAGAGAGATAGAGAGAGATAGAGGGGGAGCGGGGAGAGAGGGCTTGGGGGGAGAGAGAGAGAGAGAGAGCGAGCGTTCCAAAAGTACGATTTGGGCTGTCAACGGCCTGTATAACCAGCCAATGTGCAAAGTTTTCTGTGTGCTAGCGCGAGGTCTAGGACTGCTTGGCCTGTGGGCAAGATCGGTTGCATCCCTGAGCCTGTCAAGGCCCGTACTTGTATGCAAGGCAAACCCCGAAGACTTGAAATGCCAAATTATAGTCAATAGCAACTGAGCTTCGGTTGTCGATCAGCTCCTCCTGTCCAGGATCACATTGGCAGAAACGATGTGGGAAAGACGTAATTAACAGACACAGAGACCTACGGCCCCCATGAATAAATTCTTGAAATACAAAGAATTGGGGAGCACACCAACATTTGCTCATAAACTTACAGCGACAACTCCGACCTTTGTCCTGATACAGGATGCAAACTGCAACCATGCAGCTAGCGCCGCAGTAGCACTAAGAGCAAAACAGCTGCCAACGACAAAGAACACATGAGAGCAACGATGAGCGCAACAATGCTGATCGGAGTGCTGCGACATCTTGGCAAAAGTCAAGCCTTTTGACCAAAAGTACTCTATGACTGCAAGGGTATCAGCTATGAAATGATCCCGTCAACCCATGACAATTCCAGGATGCCCCTCTCGTTCCCTCTCCAACACTACTTTTCATAGACCCGGCGCTCTCTCGCTCTTCAGCGAGAACATGTTTAACCCATGTTTTGAGCTCCCGCTGCTTTCATTCATCAGGACCGTTTAGCCTTGCGGGACCGCATGAAAGTATAGGCTTGTGTCATGTCATTAGAACCTCCCTGTACACAGGACTTCACTACCTTGCAGCAACAGAAGCGTGCGCCAAGCCATGGAAGGGACCGACAGAGGAACACGTGGACACTGCCAAAGAACGAGAAGAGACACCCAAAGAACACCCAAGGAACACCAAGGACACGTCCAGACTCCAGACTGCATCGAACCAAGGGAGCTCCTTGGAAATATATGTATATAAAAAATATATATAATCTAGAATATATATATATATATATATCGCTTGTCTCCCTAAACCCAGGTTTCGACGTTCAAACCTGGCCACTGCCCAGGCTAGTCCCAGAAATGAACATCTTTTTTTCATTCTCGTTCGGAAAGGACTCGCGGGGGTGCAATATCAATCCCAGACAAGCCGTGCCCACAGCAACTAGCAGCTGAAAGCTGTACATCAGGTTTTGCCCAATGGGTGTGTCTCCAAGTAAGCTTGCAAACCGACATGGCGGATGTGTGTCAGGGTCCAGGGCGGTCGAGTGGGGCTTATGTACATTGGAACCGCAATGCTGCTGCTCGGATTTCCCAGCTCGCGGTTCTAGCGTCCTTCATGCTTTCGCTCCCTCCGCTTCGATCAAGGAAACTTCGGGATTGCTTTGCATCTTTACCCGGCAAACGGCAAGCACAACAGTTGGCTTAGCGGCCAAGTTGCGCTTTGATGATATCTCGGAGTCTCCATGCGAGGTGATGGGCAGGTTATTGACTTGTTGACCCCTATGCACATGTGCTCTGTGTTTACGCGCATGGGGGTGAGCCTTGTAGGGGAACAACAACTAGACCCAACCTGAAAGGCTAACTATACTGGATCGCTTGGAAGATCAATCAATCCATCTCTACCGCGGTCCCATCTAGGCCTCTGCTTGCCATGACAATGATCCCGTTGCAACCAACGCCAGCCGATGCCGCACGCAGCCCCGGTCGCTGTAGACGGCCAGGGCCTATGCACACTAAACTCAGTCGACAACACGAAGCTGAGTCCAAGAAATTACGATCTCGGCCAGCCCCCCGTGTGTAACGTGTAAGACTCAAGGACTGCGGGCGCCTTATCCGAGCCGGCTGAACTGATGGAAAGCGCCAAGACTTCCGTGGCGGTCAAGGCCGGCATCGTGGACAGCTGCACCGTCGAACCAGCAGTCCTCAGAAACTTCCGGTACTACGGCGCTACGGCTCTGCATCGATTCGCCTTTCAGCTCGTTCTATAAGAAGCACATAAGGCTTCATCTTTGATCGATTTTGCTACAGTATGCACACGCTGCAGCCACGCGCTACAAAGAGTCAGCCTACCCGGAGCTGCTTCTTGTCGAATTATGTCGATTTCAGAACTTGTGCATGTTTCACCGCCTTTCAACAGAGTAGTCCATGCATGTGCTCTGTCAACTGCAGGTGTGCAGCTCCACTTTCCGGTACCCTCACCACGACTGGCATTGCCCAACGAAGGCTTCTTGCCACTGCACAAAAAGGCACGAATCAATACGTTTAGTCCGGCTCTGCAGCCACTTATGCAACTTTGATATGCCGCGAAGGACAACAATTCCGACCCGATGCAGATCGAAACGCTGTGTTCAAGCCTTAGGCTTCCTCACCTCAATAGCTGGAAGCGGCTATCGAAACGCACCAAGATGCTGTGGGTTGAAGGCACTTCTCAACAGCATGCGACAGTATGAAATAGGCACAATGCGGCCTCGTGTCGCAAGATAGACCTGCCAGGGTGCTGTCGCAAGTCCCTCCCGTCTAGGGTCGGATTCGGTCGGTGAAGAATTCCGAAACCCAACCTGCCGGCCCAGGGCCACCACGACCCGCTGCAACCCAGGGAGCCAGGCACCGGCGAAGGCGGTGCTCGGGTCTCAGCGCATTGCTGGTTGTTTGACTCACACCGCAGCACGACAGTCACAAAGCAATAACAACCACATGCACAGGGACAAGCACAACGGCAACAGCAACAACGTCTACATCAACTACCACGATGATGACGACTACTACGACATCCTACGGCCGCCAGCTCCACTACCAAAACCAGCACTTCCACGCCTGCCTTCCGGGCCCTACCCCTATCTCTCACCACCACTACCACTAGCACCGCAAGTACTGCCACCACCACCTCGACGGCGACGACTACTGCTACTGGTTACTACTGCTACTACTGCTACTACTTCGACTACTGCTACTACTGCTACTGCTGCTACTACTGCTACTACTGCTACTACTACTACTACTACTACTACTACTACTGCTGCTACTGCCGCTACCAATACCACTGCCACCAGCACCAGCACCA